CTTCCAGCTCACCACGGGCAAACATTTAAGCCACCACAAATTCACTGGTCAAACTTGCCCCTGCCTCATCGTAAATCTAACAGGAGGCTTAAATGTGAGAATGGCGGCAAACACGACCAACAAAAGCAAACAGCTTAGCAGAGTCGGAACTGAATGGTCGGGAGAAGAAAGCGCCTCTCTCTCTCTCAAAACAAGTGAGCTGTGGTTAATAGCAGGAGAGAGAGAGACAGCAGAGGCGGAGGCTGAGGATACACTCTGCATGCTCCTCATGAACGCTCTCCTTTCCTCCAGTGAATACAGGAATCAATCTTGGACCGGCTGCTAAAGCCAGTCCATGAAGAAGCCTTCCCCTCTTACTTCACAGCCACACAAAGGACACTTCAGGAAGATATAGGCATTACCGCCTAGTCTTTTTCCCCATCATGTAGAATCCCAAACCATTATTTTTTTTCCTTCCACACTCTATTTTTTCTCTTTACTCTGGTCTTACCTCTCTTTTTCACCTCATCCCTAATTCTCTTCATTCTGGCTCATTGAACTAGACAATACTTTTTCAAGAGGCACTAAGCCACCACATCAAGGTGCAGAGTCCTCACGGTCCTTGACGAGGTTGTGAGAAAAGCCTTTAGGATGACATTAAAATGGAAAGGGTGATAGAAGGAAAGGTAGAAGTGGGTGTGTCAGACAACACTTCTGTCCTCCATTTGCAGCGAGGAATGCATGTGGCGTCGTAAGGAGTTGTTTCGAGGTCAAGAATGGAAAGGGTCTTATCTATTAGCTATTAAGAAGAGCATGCAAAAGTATAGCTGCATACACACGTTTCCACATTATAAGTTAGACGATGGATATACCAGTATTACATCAACAAATTGTGTGTTCATGCTGTGATAACATCATGCATTTCTGACATTTTTTAATCACTCTTTGCATTGGAACCAAAAACAACATAAACCATACACACTGGCATAAGCCCACACACATACAAATACATTTGCATGATTCTTTCTCACCTTGCCAGTTGACTTGGGTCCCTTCCAGATGCAGAAGTAGCAGATGAACCAGGCCAGAGCCAAACACATGGCCAGCTCCCAGCGCATTCCTCCCATGTGCTCAATACCATCTGATATCTTCAGTACTCTACGTCTGATTTGGGCACAGAGAACAAATATGATCACTGATTTGAGTGAGCGCATGCTCTGCTTTGACTTGAGTAGAAGCGGCTGATGACAGTAAAAAGTAAAGTAAGGTTGAACTGAAAAAACAAGGCCTTTGCAAACACACAGAGATTATTTCCCAGGCATTTTTTGAATCTTTTACTCAGAGTGCAAGATATGATAACTAAGTTACAACACAGAGTAATGAAAATTAAATATTTGCTTGACATTGCTCAATATGAATAGTAATGTCAAATGTTGCTGGTTAACTACACTCCTGACGAACCCTCATAGCACTTTTACTCTTTAACAACACAGTCATGTGAGTCGCACAATTTTTATAAAACATACGCTTTTAAATGAGAACAAAGATATGCTATATTTGAGAGTGGTTCAATAACACTTTGTCAACTTTTTGAGAGTTCTCCACCGCAGAGCACTACCAAGGACTCACAGGTATCTTGTTGGTCTCCCAGGGTCACTTAGATCTCACAGTATAATCCTTACTAAACCTTAAGGAGACTAACCAGCACTACAAAATAACCTCACCCAACCTTTTAAGATTCCCTATTGGCCTTCTACTCTTTCCTACCATCTATGATGGCTGAACCCTGCTCTGATGCTGACCACAACAATGGTAGATTATGATGCAACTACATGGTTATAAGAAGGACATTTGAAAGTATAAATAAGCACTTGTGTGGAGTAGTGCAGGCTTTCACAATGTGAGGATAGCATTTGGTTTCAGTAGTCCAACCTAAGATTTCACTTCCCATGCGTCTGCTGATAACAGGAATGTTAAAGAGAGGCAGTCTCGAAACCATGATAGCTCATCTCTTCTGCTTGCCCCATGAGTGGACTTCTCCTTTAGTTGATGAAGCTACAGTATGGAGGAACATTTAATCCTCCTTCTTAACTCTACTGACCCAAAGTGGTCAAGATGTCATGGATTATTTCAGAGTGGAACACGTTAAGCACACTTTAAACGATGCATCCCCAGTGAGATCCACAAATACATCAGCAGGCAGCTTTGTATCTATGATTGATTGTTGTATAATCATACGGGAGATCGCATGCTGCTATGCATCCTGTAACACTTCAAGCTTCTATTGAGTATTGAAGATGTAATGGTGAGACAACTGCACAGTGGTGGACAACATCACCATGCAACATTGGCTCCTCTGTTACAGACATGAACCAGTTCAAGTTGATCATGCAGAATGTTCCGCCCCTTCAAGCCCTCTTTTTAAATTGTGACAAAAGAGTTTATGCCCACATGATCTTCAGGGGCAGACCTGACAAGTCAACCACAACTCCTTGAGCCAAAACAAGGCTTCGTCCAAAAGAACAGACAGTGAAAATGGAGGTTCTCCTGGTATTATAACAACAATACACCCTTAGATGACAACATGTGAGCACAAGAAGCATTGATAATCATTTTACTCCATCTCACCTACTGGCTGTTGATCAACTGTGTCAAACCAATTTTAGCTCTGTGGTCCTAAGATGAGAACTTGCTAGCAACATCACCTGCTTGACCAACTGAGTTCTCACACCAGGGTGACCACCCTGCTTGTTCTGAAGGAATTAAGTTGCTTAGTGGGTAGAGGTCAGTCACATTTACAGCAGAGTATCACAATGAAAGAGAGGATGGGTGAGACATTCTTTATGACTCAAAACCTATGAAATATCATCTTAGAACCTTAGGAAACAATTTTGGGTTGCGTCTGTCTGAGAAAGACAAGAAAAAAAAAGAAAATCGGAGGCTGTGACTTTTTATTTACCTTTGCTGGTCATTATTTCCAGTTTGACTACCAACTAGTTTTGATTAATTCAATATTCGTGAAACTGTACTGCTCAGCCCTTTAAATAATTTGATAAAGGAGACAAATACAGATTGTTTTTGAAATGGCGTCATTCTGCAAAGCGTTATGAGGCCAATAGAATCGTAAAGTGCTTGTAAAGTGTTATAAGAGTACGAGCCTATTGCACTTCGGAAACTAAAATGTTATATTCTTTGGAACATGTGGAATGGCGTAGGTGCACGATACAAGGCATGCAGTTAGCGATTATGACATCATAGCTTGTCGGCATTGGTGAATCAACAGTTTGCTTCCTGTTTGTTGAAGCACAGCCAGTCAAAAACATTGACAGAGAATGAGAAGCAAGACTCTGAGGCACAGAGCTACATGTTGCTGCCAAATCTTTGCCACCGAGTTCACCCCCAGAGCTCCTGACCAGCCATTGATCATCGTGACATGTTCCTGGTGGCTGGCCACATGCAAGGTCCAACACAGCCCCCCATCCCTCCCTGGTCAGTCCGAAGGGCAAGATGTGAACACTAATGTGTGTAAATAGACGTGTGTCTGTTCCCAAATGTATTAAATTAGCTTTTTCTTTATGGATGTGTTGCACTGCATAGTTTAGTTTTACTTACATGCATACTGTTTCAGCTACTTTCTAAGATAAGCATTTAAATCTAGAAATGTTTAAGGGTTCAGTTTGGTTCAAACTATAGCTCAGTGAAAAAAGTCAGGTATCTTATACCTGGTCACATGAATCCTTTTCCTTCATGCAGTAGCATGCCATAATTTATATTTTTTTCATTTGTATGTGTTTTTTTGTTCTTAAAATGACTAATTTTATGATTTGCTTTAGTTAGTTCATATACAGTACCGTTTTTATTGAATTCAAAGAGCAGAATGCATTTTTTGTGTACTGATTTGATTAATTCAAGTTTTTAAAAGAATTGAGATGGAATGACAGCATATGATGATGATTTGAAACATAAAGAATAATACAGACAACAAATTACAGCTTTTTTTAAACTTCCTGATATGATGTTTGTTTATGCTACATCCGTGCAAAACATGACATTGTGTCTTGGCATTGATTAAACAAAGCCTAGTTGGGTAGTTATATTTGCCAGCAGCATGGTGTTCAGCTATTTGGCCATTTCCTTTGGCATGTCTTCACCCAGTGTGAGGTTTATTTTGCACGCTTAACTTTTTCTTTCATTGCTCTCACAAAAATCATGTCTCTTAATTTGTATTTAATCTCAAAACATGGATACCAATTTATTTAACTCTTAGCCTGCCACAAGTAGCTTAAAAAGACAGAGATTTGACCCTGCAGTGTAAACATAGCGACTGGCAGCAAGACAGGAAGCGTGGTCAGCATTACACACTGGCAAGGCCTGAGTGTGGCAGCGGCTCTAGCTGGGAGACAGCTGGCCTACCAGGGCCTGTTGACACACAAATATGAAAAGGGCTGACTAATTATCGGGGATAAGGCTAGGGGGGTTCATTTAAACAGTCTGGAGCTGTCAGAAGCTCAGATTTTCAATATTACTGTAAATGATTACATCAAAGGAGGACTTAAGATGCTGAAGACGCCTGAACTGACAAAACATTGCAGTGTGTTGTGATCGTACAGATGAAGACATCATTAATACTTCATGCCAGAGAGATGAAAGCCACCATCTTTTTATGATCTCCAATGGTTTTTTTACACACAAACTGAGCATGTGAGGTTTCACATTAGGACTAATGAATATGACAGAACATGAAGATGATGTGAGAGGAAAAGTAGAAGTGAAATATTTACTCACTCCCAGAACTCTATGACTGGAGAGGTTGCATTGGGGTTCGTGATGTTGGTGGCATTTTCTCCATAGTAGTCAACACAGTTCTCTGCATAAACAAAATCAGATATTGTTAAGAGTATATTGGCATTATTTCTGCAGCTTTTGGAACTAATTATTTTTCTTCTTTTCTTAAGAAACATACAATTTCATTCACATGATCTGTTCTGCTTGCAAGAAGAACGTCCACTCTTATCCACCAATCCCTCCTTCTACAGTACCTGTGTTCCAGTAGTGCCCACAGCCAGCCCACGGCAGCTCTGTAGTGAAACAGTTGAAGAGGTAGAAGATGGCCCAGGCAAGGATCACTACATAGTACACGTTAAGATGAGCTTCAATCACCTGTGTTGCATAGCCAATACCTAGAAAGATAAAAAAGTTATGGATCAAGACAATGAAAACTCTGCAAGTGATGTGCTATATTTACATATGACTTCAGACTAGTGGATGTAAACAGGGACACTACAGTAGTTTTAAAAAATTGAATTTGTAGAACAACAAATGACTCAAGCTAATCATTGAAAACACATTTATAACACTGTTTACTGTGAATGAGCCTGCTCAAAGTTCTAGTTTGTAGTTGTAGAGTTCTTACTTTCATTTCTTTATCAACAACAAAGAATCTGAGCGAATCCTGCTAAATTATATAAAGCGAGTGTTTTTCTTACCCTCAAACAGCGGGCACACTTTCCTCCAACAGGTAATACCTCCCTCACTCGTGAACTGACCCAGGGCAGTCTCCAGGAAAAAGACAGGGATACCGCAGCATATGAAGAAGATGACATATGGGACGAAGAATGCACCTTAACGCACAGAAAAGAAAATACAACATAATCTATCAACACTTCCAAAAGAACTTTGGCAGAATAAATACTTAACATAACTTTACCAAAAAGAAAAAAAAAACACCTCTTAATGTCTTAACTGGTGAGAGCTGTTCCAAGGTACTCACTACCACACTTCACACACACTGGAAGATGACCTTTTTAGACTAAGTGGAGGATACATGCTGGGCTCCCTGATGGTGTCTAATGATGGGACTAATCTCTTTAATTGATATAATATATGTGCATTATGGATGATGACTCTTTCTTTGAAGATAAAATATCTAGTAAACCTTTGTTCTGAATTTGTCTTTAAATTTTTTAAATGAAATTTTGAAAGTTTCAAACAAGATAAAATATTTGTTTATTTCTTGTTTCTCTTATGTCATCCACTTTTCCAACACAAACCCTTTGCGGATTCTTTTTTAATTAAGTGTGGAAGACCCTGTTCACCGATAAGAGAAACTTCCTCACCTCCTCCATTCTTGTAGCAGAGGTAAGGAAACCTCCAGACGTTGCCCAGGCCGATGATCTCTCCAGCCACAGACAAGACAAACTCGATCTTGTTGTTCCAATGGCCCCTCTCATTGTATTCCCTTACCAGAATGGAACTGGACCCGTCCGGGTCTTTACCATCCTCTGGTTTACCGTTTATAACCGGCCCGCTCTTCTCAGCTGTCATGACTCTCCAGCAGCCCGCTGTGAGAGAGGGGGAAAAAACAGAAGATTTTAAAAAGGTGACCTCATAACCAAAACTTGAAATGGATCAGTAATTTTTTTTTCCAAGAATTTGCATCTTTCTGGAGACATCTGAATGTGAGTGGGACTGTCCCATTCATGCAAAACCACGCCCATTGAAAAGTCAGTATCTTTGTATGTGAACATCCAAATTAAGTGAAAGAAATCCAATTAATTTCCACTCAGTAATTGTTAGACTGCATGACCATCAGGGACAAACTAAATAAAAGGGCACACAGTGGACTTGTAAATAGTTAACCCTGATTAATTACTAATTAAATTGAGGACTTGCATAATTAAGTGCAAAAGAAGACATTGTGCATAAATGTTGTCCAAATAAATGAGGAGGTGTGTGAGTGGGCAGATATAAAAACAAGCTTCCTACAACATGCAACTAAAGCTTTAACTTCGGAATAAACTGTCTCACTCAATGTAATATAACTACAAGATTGTCGAGCATTAAAAAAAACAGATGAACAACTTGGGGAATATAGTTACAGCGTACTTTACTTTACAACGAACCAACCCAACCCCTCATCATCTTTGTGAGCTGCGTAATACCAACTCAGAATGTTATGTCGATTGAAAACCAAACGAAAAGAGTGAAATACAGAAAGTGAAATCAAAATACATGAAAAATGTTGTTCCTGTACTCACCAGTCTACAATGGAACAGTGGCAAAACTCCTTTTTTTTGGCTCCTCCAATGATGCGCACCAACAATTGACTTTTCAAAACACAGGATGGTTTATCCTGAGCAGGGGGGTGAAGAAAAACGGAGAGAGGGGGGCAAAAGAGAAACGATTTGAATTCGCGTTGAGTGAATTTGTTTAGTCGAGTCCCTCGTCTATGTTAATGAAGATCCCAGGCGTCTCAGAGTGACGGTAGAAGTTGCACTAGGCGATGGATAACCTGCGACTGCGCTCCCACTCACCAAGCGGTCCACTCTCAATCGCCTCAACTTGGATAGAAGCCATGTGGTCACAAATGTAGCCCTCACTGCAGCGTTACCACGGCGCAGAGACAGCAGGGAGACACGGGGGAAATAGAGAAAATTCAGTTCGGTGAGGTGTGTACTTGGATTATCAATAACCAGTTTAGTAGGATATGCAGAGCTGACCCTATCGTCTCAAATAGTTAAGTTTAGTTAAAAAAGAAAAAGGTTCCATTTTGCATCAACAAAATATAACATATAAGTAGCATGTGAGCTGACAAGTTGCTGATCTTCTGTGCACTCATTTATTTTATTTTTTATTTTAATTTAAATATCTGTCAAGATTGCAGTAATTTAGGGTCCGTGGGTTAACATAACTAGAGAGCAGTTGGTTTTAATATCAGATCAAAGACTCCAATATGTGTTCTTGAAATTGCATTGTCAATATTATTGGCCAAAATTTGCTTATCACAAATGGGTGTCAGTACATTCATAAGCTTATAGTACTGACACCCAGTAGTATTATTATTAACAGTAGAACCAAATGCAAGCAATGTCTGTTTGTTCAACAAAAATAATTTAGAAGTCTTGCTTTGTATACTTTTGTTGTTAAAATTCTTTAATAGCTAGAGTGAGTTGGTCTTTATAAAACTGTAGTTAAATAAAGTGATGTTGGGGTGCCGATATGCTAGCGGTTATGTTGCGCGCCCCGCATGTGGAGGGCATAGTCCTCAACACAGCTAGAGTGGGTTTGAATCCGACCTTGACCCTTTCCTACATGTCATACCTCACACTCTGCTCCTGACCTTTCAGCTTTCCTATCCAATAAAAGCAAAAAGGCCCAAAATAAGTAGAAACATAAATGATGTGATGTCAATATAAGTATTTCTTTTAGCTCTTAAGTATTGCTATAAATAGCCTATATGTTAAGCTAGCACATTTTCAGAACAACAGACAAATTAGAACAAAAATCAACATAAACTTAGAAGCTACATTTTATTTCTTTCACTTGAGTTGTTTGTTGGTTGAAGTCTCGTGGGAAGTCAAGTCTCAGTCTTCAAAGAGGCAGTGACCCCATTTGATTTATGAATCGAAGTCAACAGTCTGGCTTCCTTTGTCAAAGCAGTTGCTCCTAAGGCTTTGCACGCAGCATACCAACTCACACCTCTTTGTCCCCTCCAGAAGTCACTTTGCACCCGAGCATACAATATGAGGGGATTTCCTTTTGAAAACAAACAAACATTGGTTTGTTTTGTCACCGGGTGATGATGAATGATCAGCCCATCATAGCAAGTCCTAATAACCCATGCTGATCGAAAAACAATATTATAAACAAGCCTAAAAAGGAGTATGTGGGGTTAGGAGGGTTTGTTCATACACAAGTTGATTGCCTGGTTTCCAGGCATGATAGACTTGATGCACTAGGAACTCCCCTGACTCTAAAAGCCTGACCTAGTCTCTAAGAATCCCTTCACGCAAGGGTCACTCGTCATTGGGAGCTTAAAGGAAGTGCCCTGCATAAAAAATACGGCCACCCAAAGCGGCTGGCAAACACTCTGTTCTTTTCAGTCAGAGTCAAGTCTTTTTTTTTATGTTGCTCTGTACAACATGATCATAGTGGGAATGCTTGATAGGGATAAAACTTTGACAATGTGTTGCAGGTATAGGGCTTATAACTTCTGTCTGAGGCACAGGTGTAAGGTAAGGATAAGTGGTATAATAAACAAGCAGAGGACAAATATGAAAAATGAAGGACAGTGAGAGGAGAGTGGATAAAGCTGTCTGTTGGCATCTCTTTCCCTTTCTTACATGATGTTATGTAACAATGGCTTTTTTTCCTTTAGTGAATATTGCTCTCTTAGTCACTGAATCTGTCAATGTCAAATATCTTTTCACTCAGGACTAAAAAGAATATTACAAATATAAAAAATAATAATCCTGCAGTCCTTTTCATTCACTTTGAATTATTGCTGTGGAAAGTTTTAACATATACTGTTTGACACTGACCCTGTGGCAGCAGTAACAGGCATTGGAAAAAATGACTACAGAAGTAGTCCTTCTTATCGCTGATAGTCTTGTATGCTTTTGTACAGTATAGGTCGAGTAAAGGCATCAGTAGTGATTGCAGTCTGTTTCATAACCAGTTTAAAACTCCGAACAGATTGATTTGGTCAGTTGTTTGCCTTAAAAACGATTTAGTCCACTTGCTTTTGTATAGCTGAGCATGTGAGAAGATCAGATCCCGAGAAGAGTAGAGCATGAGTAGAGAGGGTTTTGTATTGAGTGCGGAGAGGATTTTCTTTAAAGATGCAACATAGCTAAACCTTCTAATCCATCCAACTACTAGCTCACTTACAGTACACTGTGAGTTTGAATAATTGACTGCATTGTGCAATTTTAGGAAACTGACAAGTATTCCAACATTGCACATAAATATTTTGTGCATTTCTTTTGGGTTGTTGGGAGGTTGTAGGTGAAACACTGTAATACCACTTTTTTTCACGATATGATGTTGCAGGGCAGTTTGTAGGGTTTTTGGTTGCATTTAGGCTTTCAAATTTGAAAACAAACAGTAGAGTGTCATCAGCGTATAATGATTACCATTTTGAAATGGAAAATAATATAACCAATCAATCAAAAATTCAACAAGTAATGTTTCAAACTGGTTAACTGTAGATGCCCCAACAATTCTAATCAGAAAAGACTAACTATAAAACTATAAAACTAAATTAAGAGGGGAAATAACAGTATTGAGCTATCGTTATCTCTCAGCTGTCTTGCACATTATGAAATGTTTTTGCACCATTAGCCATACATGAATTTCAGTGATATCTAATGCGCTCAAAGGATGGACTGAATAGACAGTTGGTCCTGATGAAATCTTGAGTGGGAGGGATGAAGTAGGATTGCCTCATTTGCATACTGAAAGTAAAAAAGGGAACAGATTTAGACCTTTGACAGCAACAAGATGTCAGCAGCAACACCCACAGTCAGCTGCTTGAATTGGAAATGAAAAAGGAGAGTAGCCACAAAGATGATTTTCTTGATCGAACTCATGCCAAGCTTCATAACATAATAATTTTTTAATATGTATTTGATATGTCTAACATGTTAAGAACTGAACCAACACAAACAAAAATCATAACTTTGGCCATATCTGTCATTCTGGCAATGCTGATGTTACACCAAGTGCATAAACCTCTAGCTCAATAGACAGCACCCCACATTTTCATATCAACAGCAATTTGTTTGAGCAATTCAACAAGATGGCCCCAGAACATTTAAACATGGGTCACTTCACCAAGGAAGCTTTAGACTGCATTGATGCACGATTTTCATCAAAAACAAAAAGAAGCCGCTAGGGAAAGTGAAGAGAAAAGAAGCTAGGGGAAATGAAAGACAAAGAGCCCAGTGCAACAGATCCCAAACACAGGTTCAACTAACTAGCTGCAGCCAATCCACTGCATCTATTCAGTCCATTTAAATACAGCTTTTCTTTTATCCCGATGCAACAATAAGTCTGGTGTCCCACAAAAAGTAGTATTTACATTCACAATATTGGTGTGACAGTATCAGATAATAGTTTGAGGGTGTGATGACAACATAAGCGTAGGGATGCATTAGAATATATACACACAAACACACGCTGACCTCAAGCTTTCTCTACTTGGCAAGATGGGCACGTTGAGAAGCTACAAACCAGGCCACCCAGTAGTGAGTGAGACCTGCCAGCAACAACCCTGGGCACATTCCAAAAAGCTGATACTGATATGCCAAATATTAATACTAAAAGAGACTAGAGCAATTGAGATAGCTTTCACTCTGGTAAAAGAAACGAGGGCTATATAGACCTCTATATACTATACTAGTTTAATATCTTCTTGAATCCATGTATATTTTCACCACTGGTCTTTATTTATATAATTATTGGCTTTTCTTGAACTTGATGATGAACAGTTTGATTCATTATTTTTCCTGTGTGAAATGGATCTCCTTCAGTAACTTTGGCATAGGCCTTAATATTTAATTCAAGGAAAAAATAGTGATATAATCGTGTATTGATAATACTCTTTCCAACATTGCCACTTTGGAGTTGTGCAGGGGTTTCGGTGTCCTTGGGACCCTGAGCTGTGATGGCTGGGGAATAGTTTCCTAAAGCAAATTCGTCCCAGGTAAGAGGTCAGACTAAAAGGGATTAAGAGAACCCCCTATGAATCTGCTAAGTAGGACCTGCAGCATCTCACAAAGACAAGGGAAAGCTGGCAAGCATCTGGTGGCTTTGTCTTGGTTCATGGAACTCTTTAGCCATTACCAGCTACCATTAATGCAATGCAAGACTGGCAGCTGGTTAGGGCAGGTAGATAGGCATGCTGATCCCTTGCAGCACACACTGATCATAAAAGGATGATGTGTGAAATGTAACTAATCTTTCAGAATACAAAAAGGAACTGGTGATAGTTGGGCTACATACATTAGATACTAGATGTAGGGCTCACTTCCAAGCACAACACTGGTTATGTGACCAAACTCTTGAAAGGGGGAGGATCTCACCTTTTTCTAAGTTGCCCAGTATAAGAGGCAGTGGGCAGGAGCTGGGAAATCTCTGGAGTCCTTGCTAATGTGTTGGAGTTTTACCCAGAGAATAAGAGAGTCACTTTTATGTGGCTACGAGATCCAGGGATAAAGGCTCCCCACTACACAGCCTTCATGGAGCCTCTGCGCAGCGTTATGGAAAATCTTCCACCCTCGGACTTCTTATTTCTGCTTGGTAACTTAGACACACTTGTGGGAAATGATGGGGGAACCTGGAGGGAAGTGACGAACATCGTGACATGAGCCTAAGTGGTGTTATTAGACTTCTGAGCTAGACATGGATTGGCCATAGCTTACATCATAATGCAGGCAAGGGAGATCCATGAGTATGTCTATTGAAGTAAACTACTTCTACCCATATTTGAATGACATAAGAAACATAAAATCTGTCATATATGAGAGAGTTGTCTTATACTGCA